CCTTCTCCGCAACAGCATCACCTCACTAACTGTTGTTGATCTTTTCCCCCTAGTCTCCTTAATAAGTCTAAATAACTGTCTACTATTACCGATCGCCGCTGCCTTTTCCATCTCTTTAGCCTTCGCCGCCCACCACTGTTCGCGATCGTTGCGCAGACTTTTCATCAGTCTACTTTTAAGTTGCGCTCGCTCTTCATTGTACTCAGAGCCTGCTGGGAGGCGTTCACATGCATCCATTAGTTCGGAAGATGCTGCTGATATCCACTGGCTCTTTTTAGCCACTATTTTGGAGTCGTTTATAGTCTCCAGTGCTGCTTTTACAGCAGACTGAAAAGGCACCAAGCTTCTTTTGGATGAGTGACAGTCTTCTGTTCCGATAACTGCCTAGCTAACTTCTCACTGAACACGGCTTTGGTGTTTCCGTTTTCCAGCAGCACTCGTAGTGGTTTTGTTGCCAATTTTTTTCTACGTCCATTGAGATGCAGGCATATACGTGCTCGGACCAACGCATGATCGCTGTCCAAACACGTACTCCAGAAGGAGCGGCGGTCTTCCACCGATCCTCTCCAGCGATGACCTAATACCAATGTGGTCTATCTGTGTCCATCGCTGAGTTGAGCTCGGTGGACGCCAGGTCAGACAGTGCCTTTGTTTATGTGCGTTGAGGTCACCTGCAACAACCACCACGTCTGAACGTTTGGCTTTCGAGAGGAGGTTAGACAGCTTACGGTAGAACTCGTCCTTCACTTCATCCGAGCTGCAGTCAGTGGGTACGTAAGCGGAGATTACAAAGAGACAACGGCGAGTCTCACGATTCCTTTTAGTTCTTACTGTGCCGTTCAGCCTCATAGCGCAGAGGCGACTATCAACTGGGATCCAGTCTAGTAGTGAGTTTTCTGCCTCAGTGCTTGGTGCTATGCCTACAAATGAACCAACACCACCAGCCTGGCAGACCGTGGGGTATAGTGGAGTGTGTTATTTTTGGGCCGACCTTTTCTAACCCCCCTCCCCACTTCCACTGAGAAGGCAGCATCAGCATGGCACTGCTGGTCATCCAAGGGAAACACCTTACTGCTGTCACACCCCATCCAGCTAGCAGCAGTACGACTTCGCCCTCAGACCCCCATCATAGTGTAGCAATTTACACTACAACGTTAACTGCTTTTCGTTTAACCACTATCCAACAGACTTTTCTGGTATGGTAGGACGTCGAGGGAACAAGCGTTCCACCAGCATAGCTCGTTGGGTCATTGCGATATACAAGCCCGACTACCACGTCAAGGTAGCAGCTATCGGTCGGGCCCCGACCCAGGCAGCCTATACGGATCAGACTTTGTGGACTGGTTTCATATCTGGGACTGGCCATTTTCGGGCTTTAAATCTAATCATACTTCGGTCAACATCCCACGTCTAGGTAGGTGGTGGTTCGGTACGCTGAGTACGTATTTAAGCCAATTCGGTCGGTGAAGGTTCTCAATGTCATCAACTGCCTTACCTTTTTGCTTTATGCCCTACACCTCACTTTGCCTTACTTAAGCTTGTGCAAACTGCATTCCAAAAAAAATTTAAAATATTTGGCATAAACTACCAAATAAAGATTCAATCCTACCGTGACTTTTTTAAAATATATAAAACAATACATGCACGCTTCTATAAGCACCAGTTTCACCAACTCCGAGACCGGGTATAAATGACCAGTACGAGTTTTCAAAAAACATATCTTAGCGCTACCATACTCATATCTTAAAGCTGTTTTGAAACATTAAAAAATGATGCCTTATTTGATTACGTCCTACCCACCACTGTTTTAAGCTTTAGTCTAACAAGTGAAAACTGGTAGTTCGCTCATAAATAATGACGTAAGTGAAACCAGTATTACCCTCGAGAGGAAAATCATATCGTTTCTACTAGTAACTTTCATTGTAATAAAATTAATTAATAGTAAATACGAGGCGGTTTTATAATGAACAATGAGAAAAAAGAGAATTATCAAATTTGGGCTTAGAAGCTACCGTTTGAATGTAATGGGAAATCTTAACCATATTTTTTCTTACTTTGCTTTTATTTGAGTAAAGACAATATGACATTGAGTCATGGACAAGCTGCTGAAATGATAAAAGGAGAGTAAAAGAACTCATTTAAATAGACACTCACCAAAAGACTACGTGTTTCTTTAGAATCTAGTGGAACTGATGGATTGACCCATAAAGTCAATGTTGAACCTCGCATACAAGTACATCAGCTCAAATTACCACACTTCACAGTAGTACACAAAGAAAAGGGGGATAGAAAAAGTGATATCAAAGTAGATAAAGTTGTATAAGAGAATAAACAAACTGAAGATAACGGTTAGTGCGAATATTCAAGCTTTAGGTGTTTAAGGGGTGAATACATCTGCGCCAATGTGATCGATTTTCAGCCTTCACCAACCAACCACTGATTCCTTTCGTCTCGACAACCCCAACTACACAGTCTACATCTCCCCACACACATCAGACCAACAGTCAGAGCCTTCATCGACTGGTCCCAGGTCTTGGTTTGGTCACCCTGAGCCCTATCCCAACCTAATCCAACTTCTCCTAGCATGGCACGTCGAAATGTGCGGTGACTCGGCATGCCCAGCACATGTCCAAGTCATCTCACCCGATGAAGGTTTACAACTTCATCAATCGACTTTACTGTCTTGTCCAGCATCCTTCACCCGACCTCAGGATTGCTCACACGGTGATCCCATCAAACGCGAGTAATGCTACGAAGACATTTGTGATCGAAACCCAGTAATCGTCTAGTGTCTTCTACTTCCAACGGCCATGTCTCACAGTAGTACAACAGAATAGAAAAGACTGCAGCGCAGTATACTCGTCCTTTGATTGATAGTCACATATCTCGCCAGTTGGCACCACAGGTGATACAAGTTGGCAAATGTCAAATGATCCTCCTGTATACCACCTGAGATTTCACCAACAAACAACCCGTTCAGGCTGATGTAAATCCCCAAGTGAAGTGGTCGACACATCCCGCCACTTCACTCCTTATCATTAAACTAGGAGTGGTTGTAGCAGACCAGTCCTGGAGCATCCTCTTACATTTGACAGGTGCCAGCGTGAAGCACGCCAAACATACTCAAATCTCTGCACAATGCATTCAGGAGACCCTGCATTTTGTCAGCCTCATCTAGCAGGACAGCATCGTCTACATACTTCAAGTCAACCAGATGACCTCTAGGGAGTGGATCAATCCCTGTGAAATAGGACGTACCTAAGGTTATATCCATTAGTATGTCTATGACGAAGTTAAATAGGAACGGTGACAGTAAGCACCTATGGCAGACACCACAAGTTGTCGTCGACTCACGTGACAACTCTCCGTAAGCTCTGATACAGTTGTGTGAGTTGGAGTAGACAGCTCTCGTTGACGGTGTATACTTGCTCGGTACTCCATTCACAGTCAGACTTCCACAACACCTCATGGTCGACTGAGTCAAACGCCGCCTGCAACCCAACAAGTCGGACAAATTTCAGCCACCGATTAGAATTAATATTTCATAACCTGATTAAAGGTGAGTTTTTGAGAGATGCACTTTTTTCCACGTGATAAACCTGTATTGTTCCTTCCAGTTTTGCGTTCTGGAGTTACAGTTAGGTGTCGCACAACTATGGACCCCGGAAATTTCGTCACGCTAGTATAACTGATTCTGCTATGGTTGCCTCAAGAATACTGCTATCCCAACTTATACCCTGGAATGATCAGTGGAGCAGGAGGGTCAGAGAACTAAACACTCTGATTAGTGTGCTTTTTACGTTGAACTTGTTGATAGCAGATGACTCAGGCTTCTAAACTTCGTACCAGAAAGAAAATAAGTTAAAACGTTAGCTTCACTGTGAGCTTGTGTTAGCCTTGTAGTAGCAAGTACCCGAAAACGATGAGGTAAGCTATACATGCAGAGTTCAGATAGGACTTATGTCCCACTGCACGCAATATACAGATTTGAGTGAACAGATCTGAACACAAACGAGGTCGCAAAACTGCGACCAATGACATGATTGAGTTGTTACCGAAATATCTGCTTAAGTGCATGGTAGTGACTAAGACATGGAAATACACACAAGCTAACCAACTCAATTATCAAGAGTAAGTTTACGAAACTACTACATGGTTCAGGCTGGATTACTTGACAGACTTGGACTTGCGGTGCACGGATCGCTTGGTTGCAATTACATCCATATACTCTCAGAACTTTTTGAGCACCATATGACGGCTTACTTATAGCATGATTAGATGAAGTTAGTTCAGAAACCCTGATTTTCTAGAAGTGAAACAATGCCCTACCAGTGACCAAAGAGAAAGTCAAAAAAGTTGTGCAGTAAAATACTGTACCGACTTAACTATGGTACACGACATTTCTGTTTTTCCGTAAATATGGTATTGAAAGCGATAGTTCGGTCCCCAAAACTGAGTACTGTCGACGAGAACAAATGAAAAGACGAATACTACGACTTTCTTTCTTGCTTCTTAAACAAATGACAACTAATTCCATGACTTCTTACTAACGAAACTAAAATTTCACAACGACATCTGAAAACCGCTTGCCGGTATGGATAGCTAATTATCTAGACGCAGTACATTGCACTTATGTTGCTGACACGCTGCTAACCTGGCTTTTAAATTACCTCAAGTTTTCCAAAGTCTACAATTATTCGTACAGCTGAACTATTAGGATTAACCATGAGCACTTTTCGAGTTGATTTATTTTAACCTCAGACTTCCTATAGCTGTAGCTAAACAATGATTATAAAAAACCTGTCATTTATTCATGTTGCTATTGATGTGGAAGTCCGCACAAAAAGGTATGCATCAGACGTCACACTGCTCCTTGAAGATCGGACTGTCATCGGGAACGTGAATTTCATGTCAATAATTTAACCATGAAGACATACATTGAAAATAAGCAAGATTGTCATGTAATAGCTTTGAAATAGTTACGCAAGCTTTTATCTTACTTTAAGATTAACCTTCGTCAAAATTGAATCAGGATTCTCCAAATCTAAGGTATCCAACAGCGAAGATGACTGTTTTCTTTTAGTTGCAGCTCTTTTCATTGTACATTCAGATAACTTCTGCCTGCACTGCCTAGAAGCTTTGCTTAAATTATTGAAGGAATTTTGATGTGAAGCATTTGCTGAAGTACTTCCAAGCATGGAGAAAGAGCAAACACCAACCAGAGAATCCATATTTGCATGTGTTCCATCATCATCACAACCCCAGCGGAATGAGGAGAACCACTGAATGTGGTGTTGAAACTCTGCTCACGGTTATCACAAAGATTATTCGGTGAGTGGCGAAGGCGGATCCTTAACTTAGGAATGAAAGGCGAATCCCTAGCTGGCTTAGGTGGGATAATTAGTTTTGATGTCGCGTACATATCTGACGTGATATACATGTAAAAAGTACCACACTAAAGGTGCATGAGATTTTAATATACATCCATATGTCATACGTCAATACCAGAAACCTGAAGAAGCCAGCACATTTAGCTTTGTAGCTAAACCATCAACAGGCAAATCTACAGTACAATCCCGCGCAAAAACGTCCAACGGTAAGCCTCGAAATGACGTTACAATTGACTAGATAAAATGTCTTCACATTTTATTTCAAAAACTATCTGTAGAAATAAAAGATCAAAAGAAACACGCAAGAATATTTTGTTGGTGAAACGTTAGTTTACAGATTTAGAAAGGCAGAGACCTTGGTAACAAACAGCGTAATAGTTATTCTGGTATTTCTCAGGGTTCCTTAGGGCTTTGTCTTTCAGTTATTGTTCCTGAGGAGGTTTAACTATTTTTCGATAACGTCTCTTTTGGAATGCGACGTGATTGGTTTTTTAGTAGCCTGGTACTTGAACAAGCTCCAGCCTGCACTCTGACCATTTTATGACTGAGTATATATATGTAGCGTCATGCACTTCCCCAAAATCAATAGCCTAGGGTTTGACGACTTTCGACATTGATGCTGACCTTGATAGTTTAACTGGACTCGCTAAGCTGAAGGCACCCGGTCAAGCAACCTCGTCATTTGGCACGCTGTCGTGTTACGCTGCATTGCCCGTATTCGACCCTCTAACCAGTTAGTTGAGACTCATCGGTATCTTGGCACAACCATCCAAATATACTATTCCATCCTACTACGCTATTATGTTCTTCCTTGGTCTCGTATTCGTGGGTATATAACAAGTCCGAATAACTAGTGATTGGTCTTTGCGTCTGTCAAGTTCACACCAGGACAAATCCTATATATATATATATATATATATATATATATATATATATATATATATATATATATGTATATATATATATGTATATATATATATATAACTGAAAAATCAGGAAAAGTCTTTCAGCCTTCTGAAGTGCCAAAAGTTTCGGAAGGTACGCAGCTATCTGAATAACAAATAAAAACTGACTAAGGAGGACCGACTCAAGCAGCTGAACTTCTCATCCTATGACAGGGAGAAAAGAGAGATGTAGTCGTGCTGTTTAGGATTCTGAGAAGTGACTTTGGACTTGATAGGTCTTCCATTTTTCTTTCTATTAGGTAGAGGTGCTTCATAGAACTTAAGAATATAGAGCCAAAAGACGAACGTACTCTCTGTGGAGTACTGGTTCTCGTGTCGAGTAATCAACTCCTGGAACCTACTCGCGGATGTGGCATCCACAACACCAACTGACTCGTTCAAAAGAGGACTGAGCAAGCATGACAACTTACTTGGAAAGGATTGATACAGGCTTACGACCCTTTGTCCCTCAATAACAACTATGAACAAATAATTCACATGTTACTGATATTCAATATGAGCTCTTTTCTTCATATTCTTAAATGTATGTAGGTTATTAAGCCCGGGCACTTACATTGGAGCTGTGGCTGGTTGTTTTTAGGAGGTTACTATCAGCCGTCGAGCCACGGGTATGAGCCCTCCTCCACCTACCAGGTCTGGGTGGCCAGGTGCTATCATTAACCAACATAGGAGGTGTGGTTCACTGCCAACTACACGGATGTGCACAAGGTGGCTGAGTGCGTTTCATTCCTTCCTGCCTGCCACTCGTCAGTGAACGTATATAGGTCTCCTGGAACTAGTTTCCTTGCATGTCTTCTTCTGATATGGTCCAGTATCTGTTCTATGAGGCTGTATAAACCAAATGGTTTATTTACTCACATTTCTAATTCCAGGTCTTCGGTGGACTTCAATGAGAAGGATTTGCCTCTTAGATTGCGGTGGCTCTAGTAGACCTAATGGTTGGCTGGGGTTGGTTAAATTTGCAGAGCGGTGAATGATTTGTTCCGGCAGTGTGGTGCAGACAGTTTCTCTGGATTTCGTGTCACTCAGTAGTTGTCAGAGTGATCATAGAAGAAGGATAAAGAGAATAAGAAGATAACTACGGGGAAGAAGAGAGAGGGGATGAGAAAAGCAAAGATAGGGAAAGGAAAATGAAGTGAAGGAAAATTCTAGGTCAATTCAGGGAGGATGAGAACGAGAATAGTTATATGGTTAAACTTAATGAATAAGATGAAGTCGTGGAAAGTCAGATTAGATGAAGGGAGTGGGAGGGATTGTGGTGGGGATAATAGAAGTGAGAATGCTGAGGGTACTAATGGTCCTGTAGTACCTAGAGAGGTAGGACGCTCATAATAATAGTGGCAACGGAAGAGAATCGGTATGGAGGCAACAGTGTTAGATTGGTGTAAATCACTCTGCTGTGTTCAGTCTGGACCGTATGCCGACTAAATGAGGCCAACCCATATGTCACTACGAAGCTGTCTGAACCTGTCCTGAAGCTGAAAACGGTTGCAGTGAGCACTAACCGATTAGGTAGTGTGTTTCTGTGACCGCATACTCCGAGAAAGAAGCATGAACGCACAAAAGTAATAAACGTCTTCATCTAGTGGCGACAAAGATTGCCACAATGGCTGTTCAGTGAAAATCCACTCTTTGCACAACTTGGGTTGTTTGGTATCATGCGGGCCACTTTTGGGTCGCCACATGACCTAAGGCAGATACAAGAGTATGGGCACAGTCCCCTTATCCTGGTAAACCTTTTCCTACTTCTCTAAAACACCCTTTGTGGCCTGATTTCGGACTTTCTTCAAGGGTTTTGCGGGTTTGGTGGAACACAGCCTCTTTGAACCTCCGATTGGGTCATGTGCGGCCACTGTTGAGCCTCAGAAGGAGTTTCAGGGCAAAGGCACCTGGTTGCCTACGCACGAAGTTTTGTACTACGTGGGCTCTTGGGGCTTATCCTGGATATTTGAAACTAGTTATTATGGTTTGTTGGTCAGTATTAATCCTAGGTCTCATAGGAAAGCCATTTACCACCCATACGGTAGAATACTTTCTGCGTGCCAAGGGTTCACGAAAACGAGATCCTGCATTCATCTGGGCTAAATGCCGGTGCGTTATTTTTCACCCACCCCCTGGGGTTCTGGGCCACCATCCGGTGTGCTAGATCCTCCTTCAAATGTCACAGCTCTCCATAACTTAAAATCGTCAGCGGGAAGTAGAATCGAGGGGACGGACTCGACAGAAAGTCATTCTGAAAAAATGAAGATATTAATTAACTCAGAATGAGTCCTTGTGATGCGCAGGTGATGATACTCTGCAAGTTGAACAAACTCTGTTGACTTCAGCACATAATTCCTTACCGTCTGAATGGTTCTCCAGCCAGTACAGCACCCGACATATGATGCCCAACCTAGCTATCTTGAGCATAAGAATGCCATGTGGGACGTGGTCGTGAACTTTGGCGAGATCCGGAAAACACACAGGGACAGACTTGGAGGCCCCAGCCTACTGATGAGTTGCCACAGTCGGCTGGAATGTTCAAGGCGCAGGACCTGCACTTTCCGCAGCCACGTTCGGCACTCTTGTGTTTATCCAAAAACGGTGACAGTTCATCTTGTTTGATTTCAATCAATTTGCTTGTGTGACCAAACTGAAGTTCTTGTTCCGACTGGTGCCACCAGAGTTTTGGCCAGAAACAACAGTGGGCACAAAAAGTGAGGGTTGGTGACTAATTTTCGCACACACATTTTGCCGCTAAGACCAGTTTTCGCACAGTTTACTTGCGATTTGAATGTGCATTCGTTGTTTGGCGACCAAGTGTTTTGGTTTCGCCTTGGGTTTGGGAACTCCAGAGATTCGTGCCTTCGTTACGCGACACTAAATTATTCTGCTGTAACATTTAGTACTTCCTTACAGACCAATTATTCCATGACGTGACCACTTGCCGGTTTTTTCGTTGCTTTCAGCAACACTGAAATAAGTTCCTCAGGTTGGTAGCACCTCGGGTTCTTCCTATCTCCTCCCTCGAGAAGAAAGCGAGGCTGGCAAGTTTCCGCTACCATGGAAACTAGTTTTCGTCTGAGGAGTGTCGAAAAAGGTTACGGAGAGGGCCAAACAAGCCACTTGCACTTTGTTGCAACGCAGGATGGCTAGCGTCGTCGTACCCTAGGGATTTTCCTGGGCCGAACTCTGGCAACCTTTCAAGGAGCATGGCGGGCGCTTCCTGTAATCTTTGTAGCTCCTCTGGATTACATAAGCTGAAGTAAGCGTTGCTGTCGAAACTCCTCAGGCTGTCGGTAAGTTTGTTTGGGTGACGGGGCAGTTAACACCGCACCAGAGTTGGCGGTAACAATTTCATCAGCCCTCGGTTCAGAAAGAGTTCATCCACCCAAGCCTTTTTGTCCCGCAAGCTCCCTGAGTTGTCTGTCTCCGATGGATCGACATAGATGCCTGGAGTTTGTCTCAAGCTTCCGGAAAAAGTTTTTCTTGGTCGGCCTCCTATCCTCCAATTCCGCGATGCTGCATCGATTCTAGATACAACACTTATAAGGACTGACCACCGCTGTCGAAAGGAGTTCGAACCCGAATGTTTCATGCAAACAGATAGTTTCTGGCTAGAGTACAGACCAGTTCTGAGAACTTTCTACCGACTCCCAGTGAGTGCTACCACCTATCTTTTTAGGCAGCTCAGCCCTTCTCATAGCCCTTGGCGGGCTTGGTCGAACGCCCGGCTGGAAATCACGCCGTCCTACCTTGGGCTAGCAGTTTTTTCGGAAAGTTTCTAATAACAGTTATACATTTTCCCCATACAACGTAGGTCACATGAAAACAAACCAGTCCGAAGGTATGACCGCCTCGGCA